ATGGCCAGTTTCTAAAACTGTGAGAAAATATCTGTTGTTTAAAGCACATGGTCTGTGGTATTTGTGATGGCAGCCCTAGAAAACTAATACAGAGACTATGTTTTTATTCATTCATTCAACAGATATTTATGGAGCATCTATTACGTGCCAGGCACTGATCTGTGAAATAGGGTATAGAGTGCTGAGAAAACACGGAAAGAAAAAGAGCTTCTGCTCTCAGGAAACTTATAGCCTAGTGGGAGAGATGGACAATCAAAAGATCACATGAGTAGTGTGGTAAGAATGAGGGAGAGGTTGCTGTGCTCTGAGGGTGCGTGATGCTGGATGGGGGTGGGGGATGGTAAGAGAGGGCTGTTTAGTTGAATGTACTGTTTTATCCTCAGCACAGTTGCTGCAGTGCTGTGCTCACAGCTGATAACTGTAAATCTTAGTTGGCTTTTGTTGAAGGCTACAATCTCTCAATTCTCTACGTGGAATGACTAGAATTTTTAGCACCCAAGGAAAGAGAGCCCACAGGCCGATGCTGCCAAGTGTGACAGTTTATAGGGCCCCACGAAGCTGGGGCAGTAGAAGGACTGATGGATGAGAAGGATGAGGAAGTTGTTCTCATCTCAGCCCTGCCACAAGCCGGTGGTGTGGGGACCTACTACAATGCCCTTGTCTAGACCTCCGTTTCCTCATCTTCAGCAATGATGAGGCTGGGCTGGAGTAGTTCATCTCTAAGATCCCTTCCAGCTCTGTGAAATCTTTTCTGAAATCTAGTTCATATAAGACTAGTACTGAAAAGAGGAAGGAAAGGACAGAGGGAGGCAGGGATGGGGGAGGGAGAAGCGGAAAGAAGCTCCACCATTATTTGCTACGGGACTCTGGGCAAGAGGTTGCCCCTGATCTGAACCTCAGTTTCCTTTTTCTTAAAGTGAGGAAGTTATTTACGTTTAATATTCCTTTCAGTTCATGAAGATTTTATAAGTCTGTGAGTATTTGGAATTCTTGAATCTTCCCTGAGCATTAATTTCAACAGGAAAACACCCTTGGGTTAAGAGTGTGCATTGAAGGTAACCCTGACGGCCTCTGTTTCCCTGTGCACTCCATTCAGTTGTGAACACTTACATTGGCTTATCTTTCAAACAGGAAGTTTTAGAAACACAACTCTTTACTAACCACAAATCTTAATAACTAGATCATCAACTAAGTCAATCCGCACTGAAGGAGGTCACAAAAAACATACAAAACTAAGGGTTGGTCTATAGATATTTCGTGGAAAGGAAGTAATGTCTTTTTTCCAACTACTCGCAGTGAGAAACAGTTACTCCAGGTACCTTAAAAGCCAGGTTCTATCAGAATGGTTTGCACAGAAAATAGATCAATTAGAAAAAAATTAAATTGTCATTGTCCAACAATAGGGAGTTGCTTAAACTACTTTTGATACATCCATATGAAACTTTATGCAGCACAGAAAATAGTGTTTAAAAAGATTGTTTTAATTTGTATGGAAATATGTTAACATAAATGTTTCAGACATTACATGAAATTTCTAAAAATCTTAAAAAAAAAGATTGTTTTATAACATGTGGAAATACAGTATAGAGATAAATTAAAAAGCAGGATATAAACCAGAACTTAGAATAATCTTAATTTTTAAATATATACTATATATCATATATATGTATACACATAGAAAAAAAAACCTGAAAAAAGAAATAATCCAAAATATTAACAGAAGTAAAATCCAGAAGGGGGAAGTATGAGTGATTTTTATTTGCTTCTTTATACTATTCTGCATATTCAAATTTCCTTCAGTATGTACTCATTTGTTTGTTTAGTCTGCTGAATATTTAGAAATATTCAGCAAATATTTCTTATGTATCAACTATGAGCCAGCTGTGTCGTCGAGACTAAAGACAGAAGTAAATCCCAGCTCTCCCGCAGCATACCCTCTGGTGAGTGGACACAGATAATAAAGAAAAATAAGTAAACGTGCAAGATGATGCAGATGGTGGTCCATGCTGTCAGTGCCTCCAACCAAGGGGATGGGAAGGAGAATGCGTGGGGTCCTGCATCAGCCTTGGTCAGGGAAGGCAACCCTGAGGTGGTGTCTTTAAACTTGAGACTGAACAGCACAAAGAAGTCTGATCTGGGAGAAGAGCATTCCAGTCAGAGGGAACAGCAAGGTTGCAGGGACCTGTCCACACATAGGCTTGGGAAGAAGTTTGACTTCCTACTTTAGCTGCAGCGGGGGCCACAGAGAGCTTTCCCATGGGGAGTGACAAGGTTGCACGCCCCTCAGACAGATGACTCTGGCTGCAGAGTGGAGAGAGGCTCCTGCTGATAGAGGCAGAGTAAAGCAAAGAGACCTACTACGAGACATGTTTTCTTATAATTTGCCAATTCTGTGACATCAGTTTCCACTACTGTAAAATAAGGCAGTAGGGCAAGGTCAGTGATTTCTAAGAGCCCTTCAGTATTTAAAAAATAAAAGCATTATTATTTTGTACACCTTTTTAAAAAGTGTGTAAGCTTCTTAAACCCAGGGCCTAAGTCTTACTCTACTCCTCTTTTGATTCCCTGCATGCTGCCTGGCACCTCACAGGACTGAATGAAGGGACGTGCTGTGGGCTGGTATCACTTGAGGTGCATCATTACTTCCCAACCTGAGTTTCCGCTGTGCTTCTGTGGGCTCACCTGCTGAAGCCTTTATCCTGAAAGTAACAGGGAGCCACTGAAGGCTTTTCAGCAAAGGTTGAGTTCTGTGTGTTAGAAAATTCACACTGACAGTGATGAAGGGGGTCTGGAGTGGTCCACAAGCAGAAGAAGCACAGAGACAGAGAGACACGTTGCTTCCTTGAGAATCCCCCTGGGCTGTGATACTGAGACCTGCCAGTGGGAAAAGGGCACCTCACCTGCACAAAACCACCTCGACAGGGGGCTCTCACACACTGGGAGAAAGTGCGAGATTCGGCCTATTTATAGTTGGGGGAAATGAGGCACAAAGAGACAAGTGGCTCATATGCCAAGGATTTCTGGCTTCAGGGCCTCTACTCAGCTAAGCTAATGTGAAGCCAGGCTGCACTTAGCATGTCATGGGGCGGGAGGGCTTTTGCTTGTGCCAGAACAGAAGGGAGCATCAGGGGCTGGGGCAGGGTAGGGAAGGGGGAAGACACGAATCCTGGGCAGAAGCGGTGACAAATGTTCCAATACCTTCATTTTGACACTCCCATAATCCAAGAAGGGCTAAAATTGGCTGTAGAGCTTGTATTACGAAACCAGAGCAGGTCAAACAAAAGAAATAAGCAAAACTTGAGTCAGCCGGATGATAATCCTTGTGGTGAGCATGCAAATCCAAGCGAAAATAGATCAGAGACATTTTCCCAAGAGACACAGAACTTGGAGATCCTGGAAACAAACCCATCACGTGAAAGATGGGGAGGCAAAGGAGGGAAGGGAGGTTAGCATCACACCCTGGAGAAGGAGACAAACTTTGCTGGCAGAGCCAGGGCTGGGACTCGAACCCAGCTCTCCCCATTCTGAGGTCAGAGCTCACATCACTCCTTCAAAACTAATTATGGGTCTAACGTTTTATTTGCCAAACCTACTGATAGGCAAAAGAGCAGGAGGCAGTTAAAGTGATTTCAAAGCACCCTGTGTATACTCAGTGTGGCCATGCGCACACGCACACACGCACAGAGCTTTAGTTTGGCGAAATCTTTCTTTAAGTACTCTGGACTAATTAAATACCTGCATTCACTGCCCCAAATCAAAGGCACAGCTCATGGGACCTAGAAGCTATCCTAGTCCAGCCCTTTTATTTTATAGACAAGAACTGGAATCCAGAATGGATGAAGTTGCAGTCACTTAAGCCAAGAACCAGGGCACGCTGCCCCTGAGTTCAGTGCTCTTTCTAGCCCTGGCCCTAGCACCACAGGCAGGAAAAGTGTAACCTTTAATACACATGCATTACTTTATGTTCTTCAGCATGGATTCTCAAAAGGAAGGTGTTGGAGACAATTTCCAGTGTATTACTTTGACTGGGGCCTGAAATCTTGGCACACTGATTAGTGAATTCCAGGAGAAGGCTTTTAACTTCTTTAGAAGTTTTTACCATGATGATAACAATCACAGTCTTCCATTAAATAAACATTTATTGAATGTCCACTATGTACCAGTCACTCTGCTGGGTCATTTATGTACTTTTAATCTCTTAATTTTCATAGTACTATGATACAGGTGTCATCATTCCTGTTTTGTTTTTTTTTTTCCCCCACAGTGGGGAATACAGTTTGGAAAGTTTAAACATTTTGTCCAGGTCATAGACTCAGGAAGCGCAGAGCTGGGATTTGACCCTCTGTTGTCTTTTATTATGCTGAGCACCTTAGATATGAAGTGATCTGTACTACACCATGGATACTGAATGGGGCAGTCTCATAGTCCTAGAGGTGTATGAGGCTGGGTTTCTCCAGATCCCATGTTTTTCTGGGCTGCTAAGTTCAGCTGTGAGCTCTATGCTACATCTCAGGTTTATAAGCCACTCCCAGAGGCTCAGAGTGGGGTCTCCGACAGCCAGGACCCAAGGTAGCTGGGCTGGGCTATGAAGAGGCCCAGACCAGAGCAAAGATCATTAACTTGTGAGGACTAATCTCCTAGAAGGATTTGGCTTATAGATGTGAAAGGAACATAGTAACAGTGACTCCAGGATGGATGGACTCAGACGGCAGAAAGCATATAGATCATGGGACAAAGTTTTTGTTTTTTAAAAAAATTTTATTTATTTATTTATTTTTGGGTGTGTTGGGTCTTCGTTTCTGTACGTAGGCTTTCTCTAGTTGCGGCGAGCGGGGGCCACTCTTCATTGCGGTGCGCGGGCCTCTCACTGTCGCAGCCTCCCTTGTTGCGGAGCCCAAGCTCCAGACGCGCAGGCTCAGTAGTTGTGGCTCACGGGCCTAGTTGCTCCTCGGCATGTGGGATCTTCCCAGACCGGGGCTCGAACCCGTGTCCCTTGCATTGGCAGGCAGATTCTCAACCACTGTGCTACCAGAGAAGCCCTTTGGGACAAAGTTTTAAAGAAAGGTTTGCTGTTCTGTGTTTTATGTAAATAAAACTTCCATAACAGACCCGGAGAATTTCCTACACATAACAAGAATTTCCTCTAACGTCCCTGATGGCATTTTTGTTTCTGCTTTAATGTCTCCAGGAACAGGGAGCTCGTTACCTTTCAGACTCTTGTAATTGTTAGAAAGTTCTAGTCTTCAAACTAGGTCAAAAATCTGTCTCCCAGATGTGTTCATGCATTGGGTCCAGATCTGCCCTTCGGTTTACAAAGACTAAATCTGCTTCCTTCCTACTCAGCAAGACTTTGGATATTTGAAGACAACATTTATTTTTTATATCAGCATTCCCCAAAGCGTGCTGAGCAGAGTAGTAAGTTTTCACAGTGTTAATAGGTGTCCTCTATAAAACAAACATATCAAAACAAACAGACAGAAGCCCATAAATAGCACTCTGTGGGCATGCTGGGTTAAATCAGGTCAACCAGATATGCTTCCTGCAAGGCTGCTCAGGACGTTTACTACGCTGATGCAGAGTATGGAGTCCAAAGTGGAAACGCTGGGCATGCAGTGTTTCCCAAACTTTCAACCTCCCAGATTTTTTAATCTCAAAACCCTTTTTTTCCCCCAGTATACCTTTTACTATTTTCCATATATACTTTTAGAAACTCTGTTTGGAAAATGCTTCCCTACACAAGTCTAGGTTCTTACTCTTTTCTCCAAGCTAAAAAGCCAGGCTCCTTCAACTATTCATTTTCAGACAAAGTGTTGGGTTTCCTCACAGTCTTCCCTCTGGTTCTCTACTAGGGCTGTCAGTTTAAAATACAGGATGCCCAGTTAAACTTGAATTTCAGATAAACAATGAATAATTTTTTTGGTATGAGCATGTTCTATGCAAAATTTGGGACATACTTATATGAAAAAGAATTCGTTGCTTATCTGAAAGTGGATGTCCTGTATTTTTATCTGCTGAATCTGGCAAACCTAGAAGGGCCCCGAATGCCCTTCTTCCCTTGAAAAATGTGGCCCTCAGAGCTGGGCACATTATTTCAGATGTGGACCAAGACAGAGACAATTGATAACTTTGTGAGCCACCATCAACTCCGATTTTCCCAGAGACATTTTTAAAGGGATGATAGAAATATTTTTTGTAGATGATTAGAGGCCAATCTGAGACTGATCCAGATATCTTTCTGGATCTACTGGCAAAATGCAGAAGCCGATTTCCCATCCCTCACTCCTGTTCATAAGTATACTTAAGTTTCTCTGGTGTGAGTATTAGGGAACTCGATCCAAATACCATTTATAATTCCCTTTTCGTTGTCCGTCTTCTCCATTAGACCGTAAGAAACTAAAACAACAGTGACCAACCATGTCTACCTCAGTCATGGCTGTATCCCTGGTAGTTAGTACAGGTTCTGGCTTATAGAAGTCTTCAAACATCTTTTGAATGAATGAATGAGCAAATTAGTCACACATTGCTTAGAAAGCTAAGTAAACCAGATAAGCTTACACTCTGAGAAGAGATGGCCAACAGGAGCTTTCCTTGTGGTTGGATTTGTCATCCACTCCAAGCTTTCCCAGATCCATTAAATACAGTTAACCTGTGCTGAAGGCACCTCTATTGGAAGATATGTGTGTAAAATAAGAACACCTAATTGCTCTGACTAAAATAATTTCAACCCAACACAAGCCATTTTCAAGAAATGGAAATATTTCCTGGAGCCTGCAATTTTTATCGAGGTGTGGAACTTGGCCCTTAAAAGAAGGCTGGGCTGTGGCCCAATGTGTGTGGGATTGGGGCAGCAAATCCCACTGGGTCTTCCCACAGGAACGTCCTGATCCAAGAGGAATTGGGCAGAGTGAACAAGGACAGCCTCAGTGGAGCCCTAAGTTGCCAGCAGGGCATGTATGGGAAGCCGGACATGTGATTCCATAGCTCTGACTTGGTGAAAGTGCATCTGGTGACTGTCATGAGGAACCCAGAAGGCTTGGAGCTTCTGCTCTAAGCCATAGTTGATAGATCTGGGCCCTGCCTACTCCGAGCTTAAGCTCACACAATCTCGGGGCTTGTCAGTATTGAAAGCATCCTGGGGACTGTCCCTGGAGCTGGCAGTCACTTATCTGCTGCTTGGCAGCTGTGGCTTCTGTGCTGGGGAGTGTTAACCGTAAAATTTTAAGTTAAAATGCAGCAGAAAGCAGGAAAATACAGTGAGAAGAGTCCTGGGTCCTAGGAGGGTAGCAGAGTGTGAACAAACTTTTTTTTCTTCATATTCCATATGAGTATGAAGACCGAAGTTTAAGTCCCAGCCCTGCCATGTCTTAGTGCCATGCCCTTAAGCAGGTTTTGAACCTCAATCTTTTTATCTGTGAAATGCGAACAACCATGTTGACCTCAGAGTTGTGAGGATTAGAGAAGATGGCATATAAAAAAGCCCTTTGTAAACTGCTAAGTGCTGGATCAATGTGAGGGATTTGCTACAACAGTAGCCCCATGAGCATAGTGCTGTGGCCTTCAGTCCTTGATGCATCTGGTACTTTGCTGCTGTGATAGCATAAAAGAACCACCCAACTGAAAGAAAAGAAGGATGTTCCTTACACAGCCTGAAGCAAAATAAAAAGAGCTTCAAATTACATTATATAATTCCTTTTAATTATGGAGGAAAACATTTTGCAAGCACATATTTGAAAACATAAAATGTCAGTGGGTAGGAGTCTTTAGAATATATACATAAAAAATCACTTGGGAACATCCTTAAGACCCTAAGATGTAAGGTTCTAGGTGAGCCTTTAATTCTGCATGAATGTTTCTGTTGATCTCCCTGGAGCCTGTCACTGCCTCTGGTCAAGGCCTTTGCTGCCTTTGCTGGTAAACAGAAGCAAAACTACAAGTGTCGTTCTAGTTCATTTGAGAGAAAATAATGCAGGGTATTGTGGCTGATAATTACTTGCTACTTCCTCTGCTGTGGGATGGTACACCCACTGGGGGAAAATTTGTATGTGTAGATATGTATGTACATGTGTTTTCTGTGCCAGGGCAATAAGGGACACCTCGTCAGACATCTTGCCTTGAAAAGGCTTTCTTTCCTGGCTTTCTCTTTTTCTTCCTCCAGTGTCACGTTTCACACAGTGGTTAGTTATGGAGCACATTACTTCGAGTCCCATCGCAATCCCCATCAGGACCCACAGACCTCTGATTGTGGATCCTTATGTTAATATCTTGGTATAGCTGACTCTGTGCAAAAATTACTTCAGGCCTGGAGCTGGGCAGAGGCTCTGCTTATAAAGTTCTGGGGGGGCACAAGGCAATCTTTATGCAACCTGACCTGCCCACCCTCCCCTCCTTGCCTGGGCCAAGAATCGTGAACGATCCTGTTCTGGAAGAAACCCCACCTTGCCACTGAGTGCTCTGAGCCAAGAGAAGGGGGAGCAGAGCTGGAGGCACAGGCATGAGGCCAAGCCACAAAGCCCAAAGCTCCAAAGTCAGAGGGTTCAGATCTGATACACCATTTGCCTTGTCCCTGCACCATGGACTGGCTTAGTTAGGCCTGATGGTACCTGGCAAGGAAGGTGTTTCCCTGCCTCCTAATGCCCACTGGATTTATATGTACCATGAATATAAACATATAAGAGTATGTTCACAGAGGCAGAGTTTGCAAGTGAATACTTATATGTAAGTGTGCATTTTAGGAAAACATACACAAGTGTACATAGGAACACATGTGTGCACTTACCTATGTGAGAATGCTTTTGTATGGACAAGCATATCTTCAGAGAGTCTTTTAAAATATACATCTGATCTCTGCCGTAAACATATCAATGGCTTTTAAATGCTTTTAGGATAAAGAGCCAAAACCTAATGCAGCTTATAAGGCCCTTTATGTGTGGCCCTGCTATGCTCCCTCTCTCTGCACACCTTCTCTACACTGATCTTTGCTTAGTCCTTCTTATGCGTGAGGTTTCCTTTCACCACAGGACCTTTATACATGCTTTTCTCCCTGAATGGTATGTTTTTCCCTTCTCTCCTTTTCTAGAAATTACTTAGTCATCCTTCAGCTCTCAGTTGAAACCTTACTTCTATGGGGGAACCTTTACAAACCTCTCAGAATTAGTCAGATTCCCTCAAAACACTCTGAATCTCTACATAGAAATTGCCACAGTTAAAAATCTGTCTTCATTAAAAAAGAAACTTATCCCTCCCATTACACAAACTCAGTAAGGGCAGAGATAAACTGTTTTTGTTCACTCACCGATCTTCAGCACGTAACAATTCCTGCCACTTAATAAGAACTCAACAGACATGTATTGAATCAGGGGTGTATACATTTACCTAGGAAGAAGGGCCAGTATAGGAACTTGTGTGCCTGTGTGTACTTAGGTAGCGGTGGGACCATGATTACGTGACATGGCATATTTTCTCATTTGGAGAACACGAAAGTGTGCTTAGGAATACCCGTGTGTATTTATCTAAGGGAGAGTGTGTAGGTTGAGTACATCTGTGTCCTGTACGTGTGAACATATTCATATGGGAGTATACACAAAAGAACATAGATGTGTCCGTACATCTAAGTGAAAATGTATGTGTATATACTTGTGTTGATATAGGTGTAGGCATCAATGTAAAAGTCTGTGTGTGTTATGTGTGTTTATTTGGGTATGTGCATATATGGAAGTGTATGTATATGTATGAATCATCCTGCAGCTGGGTGGGTCCTCCTTCAGATTTCTAAGTAGGAGGGTTTATGTAAATTAGGCAAATTGATTCAGATAGACTTTAGTATGATTTGACTTAATCATAGCAGAGTGTCCAGGAGGAAGGAGCACTGGACTAAGAGTCCATCCCTGCAGCAGAATCCTTTTTTCTTCCTGTGCTGCTATTTCTTGGTCTACATGCAGAGGGTTCAGGACAATGAGACAGTGATGCTGTTGTGGAGGTACAACTGTGTAGATGCCGTGTTGTCACAAAACACATTTTAAGTCAAGTGTCTAATTGCTCAATGCACTTTATTACCACCTTCGTCTTTCATAGTAACTTTTTATCATTTATAAATTATATTCGTCTACATTGTTCTATTTGATAACACAGGGAAATTAGGATTCTGTTTATTTGACAGAATGGTTATTTTTGTGAATGTATGCAGATGTACAGGATCAATTTTTACAAGCCTACATTTTGTGCTCTTGAGCAGGAAGAGTGGGCAGGGGAAGACAGTGAGATCCCTAGGTCCCCAAATTGCCATCCTAGGAGCACCTGCATCACAGTCCTCTGGGGGAAGTAGTGACAAAATGCAGATTGCTGGCCCCCAACCACAGTCCTGTTAGAATCTCAGGGAAGGGGGTCAGGAATGTGTATTTTCTCAGCGCAGATCATTTTTGGCCTTTGTAAGGCTTGGGACCCACTGCAATAACAACATAATGTCAAAAGACTCACTACCTAAACCAACAACACAATTTTATAGAAAGAAATTTCTAAGGCTGCCCACCTCAGGCCCTCGAGATTGACCCTTGGTTCTCTTAGGTTGAGGAGGCTAGGTGAGCATCTGGATTTATAGAAAGACACTGTGGGAACTAAAACAAGAAAGGAAGTCTGACAGGCTTATTGTTGCAATACATATTGTGAGAACTGTGAATCTCTCTCAAACAAAACAATAAAAACCCAGCAGATTGTCAGGGTTGACTGTAGTATTTAGAGACATCTAGTAGAATTTTTATAAAGAGAAATGCCAGGCAGTCGCATAGAGACAGAATTGTCTAAAAATGAAGGAATCTCCCCAACAGCAGTTGTGGCTTCTGGGCACAAGGCCTGAGGCTGCAACGCCAATATGGTGTGGTAGAAAAGAAAGCAAGCAGGGATTACCTAGGACTCCAGTTCTGCTTCGTCATGGATGTTGCCGTTATGATTTCAAAAACTGTTTTCTCTTCCTGGAGAAATGAATACATGCAGAAACTCCAGTCTTTCCCTCATAGCACTAGAAAAATAATAATAAAACAAGCCACGAGAGATGGTCATCTCCAGGTCCTTGTGTTACCTTGCCACTGACGTTGCCTCTTGGAATCTGGGGTCTTTTAGTACACTAAGGGTGTATGCACTCTCTCAGTGCCCCTCCTACCCTGATATTCTCTGTTGTGGAGACTCGGATGCAGACACAGACCTGGGCAGAGAAATGGAAAGAGCACCCCATTTCCAGCTGTCAGGAGCCTCCTGACCCTAAAGCAGTGACTTGACTCGGCACAAACCCATGTGCCGTTAGCAGGCGCCTCCCTCTGCTTCCTTCCTGGCCTTGGCGGGGGAAGATCACTCAAACTGTGCCTGAATAATGGTGAAAGAGTGTGCTCCCAGCTCTCAGCACAGATTCTAAATGCAGATTCTCCCAACTCTCAGTCTGGTTTCCTAGCTGATACTTAGCCACCGCCTACCTAGAGGGCATAGGCTTGCTCCTTCGTTCCAAGGCTCAGAAATCCATCAGACCTCTCTGAAAAGAGTCCCTGGAGAATAAAATAAAATGCACCCCTTAAAAATCTCCTCTCATCATCGTCTCCCTCCTACTTTCTTACCTGATCCCCAGCAGGAGGAAATATTGCCTATCTTAATGGTAAAGCACATGGGCTCTGGCTCAGAATGCATGGGTTTTACTGAAGTATGGTCTGTAATCTTCAGCAACTTAGTTGATCCCTTCGAGTCTCAGTTTCTTGATTTCTAAGATAGGGACAAACATAATAGTACCTATTTTGTAGGGTTGCTCTGAGTACTAAATGAGATCATGCATGAGAATTGCCAAGTACAAGGCTTAGTTCATGGTAAGTACACTGTGTTTATTAGCCATCATGATCACAGCAAGTGCTCTATGGAGTGGAAACCTGCTGTTGCACTTTTCAAATGGTAGGTATTGGTCACTATAAAACTTGATTAGACTTATTTTAACACAAGTCGACAGGCTGGGTCAGAGGCACTTAACAATGCAGAAAGAACCCTGCCCTGGAAGTTTGGTGGTTAGTTTCTCATGCTCTGAAAGCAGATCAGAGCCCGTGAAAGGAGCTTTCAAAGAGACAAGTACAGCATAGAAACATCTTTTTCAACCACCAGTAACAGGAGAGGGAGCATTCTGTTTAATTTACAAAATTTATCTCTGTAACCTTGTTCCTCAAAATGTGGTCCTTGGAAAAATCCATGGGAACATGCTAAAATGCAGATTCTTAGGCCCCAGCTCAGATTTCCCAATCCAGATGCTCTGGAAATGATGATTCTTTTGTACTCCTAAAGTCTAAAAACTGCTAAATACTCTGCCAGGCTAGTAGCAATTACGATATCTGGATCATATTATATATAAAACATATTCAAGGAGGCATTTGTTAAAGCGTTATCAGTGGGTACAAAATTGTATGAATAATAATCATGTATGAATAGTCTAATTCTGTTTTTATTTAAAAATATATTTCTACCCATAGCCATGCTTAGGACAAAGGCTGAAAGTATATACATCACATTTAACAATGGCTGTCTCTAGGTGGTAATGTTGTATGTGATTTATCTCATTTTGTGCTTTCGTATATTTTTAAGTGTTTTACAATGAGTTCTGTTACCTTTTTTTTTTTTTTTTTCTGCGGTATGTGGGCCTCTCACTGTTGTGGCCTCTCCCATTGCGGAGCACAGGCTCCGGACACGCAGGCTCAGCGGCCATGGCTCACGGGCCCAGCTGCTCCACGGCATGTGGGATCTTCCTGGACCGGGGTATGAACCCGTGTCCCCTGCATCGGCAGGTGGACTCTCAACCACTGTGCCACCTCTATTACCTTTTGAACAAGGTAAAAATGTGCTTTTAAAATAAGAGCCATCCAGCCAAATGTGCAGCACTGAAGACTTCCTGAAATCTTACAGAGTTTTGGAGAAAGAAGGAAAGAAGGAAATGCAGGACTTACGTAAACCAAACCATCTCTGCTCAGAGATGATTAAACAGGTCTAGAGAAGGGAAGTGACCTGCCTGAGGTTGCCCAGTGATTAGGGGTAGGCTATACAGTTCCCAAGTCTTCAGGACCTTAGGCCAGAGGGCTTTGACGTGCTCCCTGTGCTGGCCAGGGACCTGCCTCCCTTCCTTTCCGTCCTGTGAGGGTGACGGAAAGACCACGGGAAGTGCAGTGATTCTGAGTGTGGAGAAGGATGTAATAGACTTTGCAGAGAGGACTTTTCAGCTTTCATTATTTTCTCTGTGGGAGTTAGTAGGTCATTTGCAAAAGGCATGGGAAGAGCAGCTGATGAAAAGGTCTAATAGTTTGGAAAACTGCTTAACCGTATTGCTCTATTTCTGGATTTCCCCCCATGGCCAAGGACTGTTGAGATCCTGATTTTCCCCAGAGGTTTCCTGGTTAGGAATGTAGTGAAACCTCTGAAATCCCAAGGAATTGGGGAGAAGGCCAGCTGGAGTTAGGGAATGGTCTGAATACTTTTTAAGAACATCTAGGTCTGTTGTTTTCAAGGACATAGAATCACAGATTTGGAAGGTTAGTCCAGGCCCTGCTCAGTGTAGGGACCCCTTGTGCTTCATCCCACACAGAGCTTTATTTGGACTTCTCTTGAATGCTTCCAGTGAAAGGAGACTCACTACTCTGATAGAGAACCTGTTTCACTCTCAGAAAAGTTTTCTTTCCTCTGAGCTGGAATCTATCTTCCTGTAATGTTCTACTTGCCTTCTGGTATTCATCTAAAACAGATATGCTCCTTTTTCCCAGATGGTCCTTAAATATTTGAAGGCAGTTATCATGTACCAAGTAGTCCTTCACAGCATTCTCTTCTGCAAGCTGACCACCCCCAGTACCTTAAACCATTATTTATATGACAAATGTCATCAACTCTAATTAGAAACAAACTGTTGTCTCTAATTAGCCTCTTAATTAACAGCTATATAAATTCAGAGCTAAGCAGAGCTTAGAGACCACCTGCACTAGCCTCATTATTCTACAGATGAGCAAACTGAGGTCCACTGAGAAAACAGGAAAACTGCCTTACCCAACTAGAGAGAGAGAGACAGAGAGAGAGGAGAGGCAGAGTTGAGACCTGAAATCTAGTTGCATGAATCCCAGTCCAGGCCTCTTTTCGCCTCACCCGGCCTCGCATTATTCGTGAGACGCAAGAATTTCTCAAGTTCTTGAAAGTGGCTGGGAAGTTTGTTCTCTTAGGTATTTCAAAAATTCCTCCTTAAAATTATATTTGCTCTCTCTGTGAAGTAGGGATTAGCATAGGGCTGAATTTAGTGGAGGTTATACTGTCAATGGAAAGCATCCTTCAAAGTGTATTAAGTCTCATTGCTCTCTGCTGTCAGAAGTTCATCTCCATTGCCCTAAATGCTAGCTCAAAATGGCCAGCACATGTATAGGGCCACCTAGGCCTGCCAAATTTTCCATAAGGTCCAGATACCTGCTCAATGTAGGAGACCTTCCCAACTCTGGAACCAGAAAATGAATTTGCCAGGACGTGAAGCAGGCTGTGTTTCTGCTTTACCCTGTGCTTGTTTTAAAGTTTCGTATCCTCTTTTCAGTCTGGACTGATTCTCTGATGAAAAGACAAAGCAAAGACTCAGAGAAGCAAACTAGACACTTCAGTGATTGGTTTCCTTTCCCAGTCCACAGCAAACTCTGCAGTCACATGCTTCCAGGGGAACATTCCTCCCTGCCCCAATCCACAGCAGTCTCCCTCTTCTCTCAACAAGGTATTGCATTTCCAGTTTTTACACTTGTTCTGGCATGGATTATAAATTGCCTCATGCTGCTCCCTGGTTTCCATGTGTGCAGGAATCACTGCACCTGGGTTCCAGTCCTAACTCTGCAACTAGCTGGCTGTGTGGCTTTGGAAGGTGACAACCCTTCTGAAACTCAGTTCCCTCATTTGTTAGATGAGGACAGTTTTGCTACCTACCTCATAAGACTGTCAAGGTCACATAATGCCTAAAAGGTGCCTAGCACAGTCCCTAACATTTAGTAAGACTTTAGAAAAGATATCTATGTAGTATTATTAATATTATGCTCCAGACTTCAGAGACAGAGACCTGTATTTTTCTCCTGCTGCGCTCAGTAGTTGTAAATACCCCGATTGATCCTGGTCTAGTCTTCTTTTGGCAGTAGATACATCAGAAACATTCTAAGCGTCGTGTAATGACAGTTCCTATTTCCCAGCTCCCTTTTCCCCAGATTCCCTCTCTCAATAATGATCTCAGTGGGGAGGCCCACCCTGTCCTGCCACTTTGCACACCTGTCAGCTTGCATCTCAGCATAAGGTTCTCATTTGACAGACTCTGAGAACTTGCTGTCCAGGCAAAGACAACTTTATGATGATGAATCCAACACAAACCTTATGTAAGCAACCTGTCAGCAAACAGAGGGACAGGGAGACGCTGACCAATGCCCACCCCCAAAAGAAACAAAGCAGAACAAAAGGAGAGAGAAAGCAAGGAGTTGAGATAGGCCTAAAATGCTCTTGCTTGTCAAAACCCTTAAAACTGGTCAATGTTCTTATATTTAAAGTATTCCCAAATGAACATGAATTAGGCTAAACTCCCTTTTAGCTGAGAGTCTGTGAACTAACATTCATAGCAGAGTTCTAAACTGAAATTACATTAAAATGCATCTCTAAGCAAAAGAGTATATATACAACATTGTTTATTAATAATATTTATTGTCCATGGGACTTAACAAATGATGACGGAAAAGTTTCCAGCTTTTTTTTCTTTTAAATAAGACTGGGAAATTTCTACCTGGAGTGGCTTGAAATCCCTTCAGGTCATAAAGAGTTAAGGAATCTCCCAATTTCCCTAAATGCTGAGGATATCCTAGTGAACTCTTGCCGAGAAAAAGGAATAATTCTTTCTTTTGTCCCTATCGCAGATTATTTGTTTATTGCCTGCGTTTTGTATTAAGGACGCGAAAGAACTAAAAATATCTGCTGAAATGAATTTGTTAATGTGACAACCCCAGGGAAAAGCTTCCGCAATTGAGGGTGAGGGCAGAATTCAATGACAATGTGGTGGAGAGCATACACCAATTCCTGGTATGACAGCCAGGTTTGCTGGCTTTAGCCCCATCTCTGACATCCTTGGCTTCTTACTTTGGGCAGGTCATCCCCCCTCACAGGCTTTTGGTCTCTTTGGATGTCAAATGCTTTCTATGCTTTCTCTGCAAGTCTGATATCCCATGAGGCTATGAGGAGTGTGAAGATTAGCTGGAGAAGCTGCCTGCATCTCTGAGTGCAGGGCCCAGAGCAGGAGAAGAATGTGATAATAGGTATGAAAGCCCTTGGAGAAAAAGCAAAGGGCTAAAGGGCGCACGCTCTCCAAAGCTCGATGGCACATTCTAGAAACATGGGCAGCTAACTTTCTCTTGAGAGCTCAGGACTCACCCAGAAACACCCCATCACTGAGCTGACAGGAAGCAGAGGAGACTAATGCTTTTCTGGTTGGGGACCATGGCTGGGACAGAGGGAAGAAAGGAGTGGAGTCAGCTTCATGAGCGAGTGAAATGGCAATGAACCCTGCAGGCTGATCCTCTCCAGGCTGCCGTTGCCAAGGAGGATGATCCACTTGGTCAAACCTGGGCCAAGCTGTGGCTCAGACACACAGGCAAAAATAGAAAGGGGGTGGTAGAGGAAATGTGTTTACTTTTGTGATTTTTCCCTTACGTGCCTCTTAACACTATTATAATCTCTCCACAAACAGGCAGTAACTGCTCACAGTCCTCGCCTTCATTGATAAACCCTCCAAAACAATTCATGTCTCACAGGCAGTATGTGGGCAGCTGGAGAATCAGCTTGGCAGGCAGCGTGATGGAGTAGAAAGAGTACTGGCCCGGGGTCTGTCACTAACTGGGTGAACCGTGAGAAATTCCTCTCTGACGCTCTGCACAATGAAGTGGTTACATTAGGCAGAATCTAAAAATCTGTTCAGATTTTTGAAGTTTCTAACTGTAGTTCTCAGCCAGGGGTAATTTCATTCCTCAAGGGAAGGGTACTTGGCAATGACTGGAGACATTTTTGGTTGTCACAACTCAGGGGATGCACTGGCATCTAGTGAGTAGAGACCAGGGATGCTGCTGAACATCTGACAATGTATAGGACAGCCCTTCACAATGGAGAATTATCTGGTTAAAAATGTTAATAGTGCGAGGTTGAGAAATTTCGATTTGTACTGAAGTGACTAGAGTCACAGGGAGAGGGGAAAAAAGGGACAGCAGTTCAAAGGAGGAGGGGTCAAACCCTGTTTCTAGGTCATGAGGTATTCACCAGTTAAGTGTTTCCCAGCTTTTCTCCCTATAACCCACGACCTTTTCATTTCCCTTGGAATTACCGGGCTATGTTTGAGTAGCTTTTTCACAAGAACTTTCTTATCCTTAAAATGCCAAGCCCTGATGCAGTACAAAGATCTCTACTGTAAGACACAGCAAAGATAAAAATATAAGCAGCTACAAAACAAGTAGAACTGGAAGGTGGGCGGTGGGGGCACATGATGGGACACAACAGATGCCCTTAACTCCGTTTCCATGAGTCAGTGTTTCTGATGTTACAACACAAGAATAATACCCGTAGGAAGAGCAAGATGAGCTGTGCTCAGGGCGGGCAGAACTGATGTGGGGGCACCAGCGTCAGGAGAGATACAGGTTTACAACAGCAGATTCAAAGGCAAATGAACAGGTTAAGCAATCAGTGCATGTCATTCCACATTAAGTCACTGGGAAGTTATTGCAAATAGTTACCTGCGGTTTTCAGTGGGGGAGGCAGCCACACTCCAGTCAAGGGGTTTTGGAGAAACAGGTGCAATTAAGTCATGGTCAAACAATTTATTTACTGTAAACTTTAGACTTTGCTCAGGAAAACAGCCAAAGCTGCCCCTCAAATCCCTGCCTACAACACCCCGTTTGAGCAACTAAGAGGGGCGGGGAGAGTCCACGTTCACAGCAAAAGGTCCGAGAGACTCGAGTTTGTCCAGTCCAAGGGTGCAGGAAGGAAGGTCTCCTTCAGATACAAATTACCAGCAGCAATATATTACCCCTAATACTTGATCAATGAGGTAGATATGCGGGAAAAGTCATTAAAACATAGCAGCCCCAGGTCCTCTGAGACTGAAGCCCTTCAGACATAAACTTACAAGTTCCATGCAAAGAGGAACTGAACTGTACAAGAAACAATCACTCAAATACGTTTTCTCTTTTTTACAACTTAAAAAAATAAAAAGGCAGAAGGATATCCTTCCTCCTGCACATCTCTATACAAGTTTATTCTAAATTTATTACACTCAAGTTAAATAGTCTGTTTAGTGTTTTGTTGGGTGGGGGGAGAAGGGGTCTTAAAAAGTAGAAAAAGCGCATTACAGCAGTGAGTCATTTGTACTACAGTTCCTCCCTTGCGAATCAGTGTTATCATTGGGCACAGTACCTTGCCGGTTCACAAAGTCTTCCGTGCCTTGGAGATCCTCACACAGCAGTTCATTGTCTTTCTCCTCCCCCAGGTGATATCCACTCTGTTCCCCTGGGTAGTCAGTTCTGCCATTGCTGTTGCTGGAGTAGCCATCCCCAGAGGCCTTTAAGGAAGACTTGCGCCAGCACAGGAGCTCCTGGAAGGCAATCCTGAAATCTGGGCTCCGGCAGTAGATCAGGGGATTGAAAGCAGAGTTGACATAGCCCACCCAGTTTAGAAGGATGTAAACTTCCTTAGGGATGAGGTTATCCTGGATCACGTGCACAATGTTGACAATGAAGAAGGGCAGCCAGCACAGGGTGAAAGTGCCCATGATAATGCCTAAAGTCTTGAGGGCTTTGTGTTCCTTCAAGCAGAACTTGGAGGCCCTGCGTTGTCCGGGCCCGCTCCGCCCATCCTGCTCCACTTGGCTGATGTTCTGGGCATGGAAGCGGCCCTCAGATTTGTCGATCTTCTGGAGCTGCCTTTTGGCTACCTGGAAGACCTTGGAGTAGACGAAGACCATGACCACCAGGGGCAAGTAGAAGGACACAATGGAGGAGGCAATGGCATAGGCTTGGTTCGTGAAGAAGTCACAGCAGGTCTCCTTGGCATAGCAGTTGATGGCTTCCTGGTGGGTGGCCCGGTACCAGTGCATCTGAATGGGCAAGAAGGAGGTAAGGCCGGACACGACCCACACCATCAAAACGACCACCCGGGCCTTATTCTTGGTCAGCAGGCACTGATACTTGAAGGGTGATGTGATGGCAAGGTAGCGATCCACGGCGATCACGCACAGGGTCTCAATGCTGGCTGTGACGCACAACACGTCAATGGAAGTCCAAAACTCACACCAGAAGTTGCCAAAAGCCCACATTTTCATGAGGATGTGGCAGGCCCCAAAGGGCACCACCGCCAGGCCCATGACCAGGTCAGCACAGGCCAGGGAGGTGATGAAGTAGTTGGTGACCGTCTGCAGACGCTCGAACTTGGCGATGGCTGTGATGACCAGCACGTTTCCAAACACGATGGCCAGGACGATAAGCGACATGACGATGCCCATGCCTACCACCCACGCCTCGTCCCGTTCCTGTGTGACGTCTTGGTCCGGTGCGTGGCTTCCGTTGGGCGCCAGCAAAAAGACGCTGCGGTTCCCGGGCTGCCCCATGGCGCGCAAGCTGGCAGGTGAGCGCACGGGCGGCCAGCGCACCAGCCGCCCCTCAGCGAGCGGACCTCCGGCGGGGCGCTGCGGGCAGCAAGCGGGCACCTGGAAGCCTCATTCAGCGGCCGTGGGGTGGGTGTGGTGGGGGCGCGTGGTGTTCTCAGCTCCGGGGGGTGCTCTGGGCTCGCGGTGCCAGTCAGTCCCAGCCTGCGCTCTGGAGAAACAGCCTCGGAGTGCGCGCTGCCCGTTATGGGCACAGGGCTTTAGGGGAACTGCCTTCCCCGTGACGTGCTGGAACTTTTGACCAATAGCGTGTGCGGGAAGCCCCGAAGGGGCAAGGCCCTCCGCCCCTTCCCTCCTCTCTCTCCCGCCCCCTCCTGGGGGTGGCCTGGGCGGGGCCCCCCCACCCCCCACCCCCCACCGCCGCTCCCGGCGGGCGGGCGAGCCGGCCGCCGCTCCCTCCCGGCTCCCTTGGCTGGCGCCGAGGGCTGAAGCTGGGGCTGGCGTGCTTACCAGCCAACCCAGGAGGTGCTGGTTCTTCCGTGGCTGCTACCTGTCTGCGCGGGGCGCCTGTGCGGCCTGAGATCTCGGAGCAGAGGGCGGTAGACGGGCCTTCCTTCCCGTTCGGAGATAGATGAGAGCGCCCACCGAGACACGCACCGTGTACCCCAACAGTCATGCACAGACTTACACGGAACTGGAGCCACAGACACTCATACACCCGTACAGCGCACCGACAAGTGCGCGCGCAAGCACAGAAGCCGACCGGCACAAAGTCACCCCTGTCCAACACAGAGACACGGCCGGGGGCAAACCAGGAGGACCCAGAAGCACAAAGACATGGGCACACACACAAAAAGAAGTATGTAAACAACATGCAGACACCCACTTGGAGGCAAGCAGTGCTCCACAGCTAAGGACCTCCCGTCCAGGTACTCCAAACTCCTCAGCCCTGCATCCCGGACATCCACTCCCTCTTCCCCAACACGGGGACACGCGGCATATTCCCTTTCAAACATTTGGCAAGACCACAGGAGGTGACTTCAACAGCAGCCGATTTCCTCAGCACGCTTGCTGTCAAGTACTTTTGGTGCCCTCCTTGGGAATTTGCAGGCATTGAGACATAATTTTACAGTTGGGATTTCTTTCGGAGCTGGGGTATACACGTATGTGCATGGGGACGGAAAGAGAAAGTTGTATGCTTTAATTTTTAATTCTAGGGAGTGTGGCATCACTCCATTATCTGTTAAAATGAAAATGCGTTGAAAATGAGATTATTTTCCTTTCAAGTTCAACTTCCTCAGTAATCCCTTTGCAACTAGAAAAATCCTCTGCTGGGTAGTTGGTTGATCTGTCGGGCTGAGCCATATGAAATTGTCACTGTCCTGTCGTGTCTGACTTTAAAAAAATGGCAATTTTATATGGCTCAGATTATTAAGAACGTGATAACATTAAGAATGTTTTGAAACCACAGAAAGCAAAAGATAATTTCTCTTAAAAAAAGAGTCAGACCAAACCTTCAAACTAGGGTCTTTGCCATGAAATAACTATCCTTTGCATCTGGCATATGCCTTTACTGTTAAAAGAAAAATATTTTTCAGGATTTGATTTCACATGTATCAGTTGTGCTTTTGAAAAATGGAAAGTATTTCACGCAGTGTAACCAAACATTTTCTAGATTACATAATAACATAACTATGGCTAACATTTATGGAACATTCTGCTATCCGCTTTTCATGTATTATTCCATTTAATCCTTCCCACAGTCCCATGGTGTGTGTTGTTGGTGGGGGGGAGGGTGTAACTATTTTTAGCTTAATTCACAAATGGGTCTCAAAGAAGAAAATAGTTTGCCCATGGGCACAGGGCCAGGCAGTGCCAGAAGCAGGAGTTGAACCCAGTTCTGTTTGACTCTAAAATCCATCTTTTAATCCTTTCAATGTACTGTATCACCGCATGCAGAAAGGAATGGAGGATGGGGAAGAAGGATCACAACTGGAATTGGAATATCAGCTTCCAAATCCCCATCCTAGAACTTTCTAGCTCACACTCCTTAGACAAATTAAAAATGTGGACTCTAATTTCCTCCATGTCTAAATGGGGAATAAAGTCACTTCTATTGATCTGAGTGAGAATCCAATGATATAATGACAAACATAATAGTGTTTTGCACGTATAAATGCCACACAAATATAGGTTATAAATAAAATTTATATAAATTAGTAGTCTAGAATATGTTGTTAGTGTTCTCTAATAGAACAGTAAGATACTTTAGGACCAAAGTAACTTGGGCATTTATGCTAGAAGTATAACTCAGAAACAAAATTTAGCCTACATGCCCTTTTTAACTTCCTTCACTAGCAGAAATTGTTTTTGCATGAAAGATGCCTTAAAAAGCAAGTAGTTTCCATAAAAGCCACGTGTATTAATTAAGAATGTATTATGTTCACATAGTTTTCAAAATATACCCATCCCATATTTGTGTTTTCCAAAATTGGCTCTGGTGTGATGCATTTTAGGAAGAGGCAGTGTGCATTATGCAATATTTCTTTAAATATATATCTACCCCAAACTGTGGAACTGAGCCATTTAAAGCCTCCTTCCTCTTTGTGAAGCTATGGAATAAATAAGCATATTGTTTAAACTTCTCATAACAAAAAAGGAACAAAGAAAGCCCTTTTAGGACAAACACTAATTGATCATTTAGATATACACATAAGTCACTTAAAAATTTAACTTTGATTATTTTGGTAAGCACCTTTAAAAAAACCCACAAACATTAAATCTAGAAGGGAGGTCTGCTCACGTCAACAAAGTTCCAGACCATTGTCTCATCAGCCTTGCCAAACGGACAATACCTCTCCCTCAATCTCTTCCTCTTTCTTTTTCCTGCATCACCGCGGCTGGTAGGAATTTCAAAATGTCTTCACGCCAAGAGTCTTTTGCCTGACCTCCCTTTTAGAATTATAGGATTAAAGAGAGTTAGAATGGGAAAGAGTTTAGTAGATCATTTACTTTATTCCCCCCAGTCCTTCAGTTTGCAAATGAGGAAAGTGTCCAGTCAAAGGTGGCAGGGAAGATTGGGAGTCCAGGTCTGTTCCTGGCCCCACACGTTTTCACTGCCCAACATTGTGGCGTCATTTCCCAGCGGAAGAATGTGACCAGCACTGCTTATTGAGCTTGTGGTCTTAGAGAGCTAATGCTTTAGTTGAACTGGAAAGTTCTCAGTAGATTAAATGCACTTTTATCTGATATAAGAAAAAGCAGGCTCTTTTATGGTGATTGATAGTGTCTAATTACATGTATTTTGTCAATCCCTTAAGACACTGATTTGTCATTTCCTGCCTGCCAAACAGGAAAAAAAACCCACATTTTGATTTACCAAACAAATGTTTGAATAGGAGTAAGGCTCTGTGAGCCAGGGAACGCTCTCACATGAATATCTGGACGCTTTAGGAAAATCTTATCCTGGTCTTGGCTTGGACAAGATTCCTTCCATCTTTTAAAACATTTTTTTGTTGCTGTTGAGGTGTAATTGACAAATAATATTATATCGGTTTCAAGTGTACAATGTAATGATTCAATATTTGTATTCATTGAGAAGTGATCACCTCAATAAGTCTAGTTAACATCTGTCACCATGCATCATAGTTAACTTTTAGGATTTATTCTCTTGGCAACTTTCAAGTATGCTCTACAATATTATTGACTACAGTCACTGTGCTGTACATTATATCCCCGAGACTTATTTATTTTATAATTGGAAGTTTGTACCTCTTGACCCTCTTCACCTGTTTCACCCTCTCCCCATCACCACTCCCCTTTGGCAAATACCATTTTGTTCTCTGTATCTATGATTTTTGTTGTGTTTTCTTTTGTTTGTTCATTTGTATTGTTTTGTAGATTTCACATGTAAGTGAAATCATACGGCATTTGTCCTTTCTTTGTCTGACTCATTGCACTTAGCATAATTCCCTTAAGGTTCATCCATGTTGTTGCCAATGGCAAGATTTCATTCTTTTTTTATGGTAGAGTGGTAGTCCATTTATGTGTGTGTGTGTATATATATATTCTATTATATATCATATCATTTCATACCTCCCTTATCCACTCATCTATCAGTGTACACTTAGGTTGCTTTCTTATCTTGGCTATAGTAAATAATGCTGCAGTGAACATGGGGGTGCATATATCTTTTTGAATTAGTGTTTTTGTTTTCTTCAGATAGATACCCAGAAGTGGAATAGCTGGATCATACAGTAGTTCTATTTTTAATGTTTTGAGCAACTGAACCCCCATACTGTTTTCCATAGTGCACATTTCCTCCAGCAGTGCACAAGGGGTTCCCTTTTCTCCACATCCTTACCAACACTTGTTATATCTTATCCTTTTGATAATAGCTGTTCTAACAGATATAAGGTGATACCTCATTGTGGTTTTGATTTGCATTTCCCTGATGACTAGTGATGTTGAGCATCTTTTCATGTGTCTGTTGGCCACCTGCATGCCTTCTTTGGAAAAATATCTACTCAGATTCTCTGCTTATTTTTTTTAATTGAATTATTTGTTTACTATTGGGTTTTTATGAGTTCTTTATATATTTTGGATAGTAACCACTTATCAGATACATGATTTGAAAATATTTTCTCCCATTCAGTAGGTTGTCTTTTCATTTTGTTGATTGTTTCCTTTGCTGTGCAGAAGCTTTTTAGTTTGATGTAGTCCCACTTGTTTGTTTTTGATTTTGTTGCCTCTGCTTTGGATTCAGATCCAAAAATTTTTTGCCAAGATCAATGTCAAGTAGCCTACCACCTATGTCTTCTTCTAGGAGGTTTATACAAAGTGGATACAGAGGGAATGTACCTCAACCTAATCAAGGCCATATATGACAGGCTCACAGCAAACATCATGCTCCATGGTGAAAAGCTGAAAGTTTTTCCTCTAAGATTAGGAACAGGACGACAAGGATGTTCACTCTCCCCACTTTTATTCAACATAGTATTGGAAGTCTTTGCCAGAGCAATTAGGAAAGAAAAAGAAATAAAAGGTATCCAAATCAGAAATGAAGAAGTAAAGCTGTTACTATTTGTGGATGACATTGATTTTATATAGAAAACCTTAAAGATGCCACCCCAAAACTGTTAGAATAATTGAATTCAGTAAAGTGGCAGGGTATAAAATAATATACAAAAATCGATTGTGGGACTTCCTTGGTGGGGCAGTGGATGAGACTCTGTGCTCCCAATGGCCCAGGTTTGATCCCTGGTCCGGGAACTGGATCCCACAGTTAGATGCTG